AGCTATATATTATTATACTATAGCATATACATATATATATATATATATATATTATATGTATGTATGTATGTATGTATAACCATCTACCTCTTGCGGCTATTCATGATCATTGCTGTGCACACCCCTTTCGACTGCAGGTTTGGCTTCGCCGGGTCTGACCAGCAGCAACAGCTACAACAGCAACGGTCTCCCAAGCACCGATAATATTAGCAGTAGCGGCAACCTGGAAAGCTACATAGGCAGAATCGACATCAAACACGAGCAGGTCTCACCCCATTCCCACCCATCCCTATCAACCGCTACGGGGCAGTGCGGGATGTCGTCGCTCAATGGGAATGCAGATAACAGTCATGCACAGCAACAAGGTATGGATTCATATGCCAGTCTTAGCGTCAATGGCAACGGCGACGGCAATGGTAAAGACAACCGTGTCGAGGCTCTGGGCTCCCGTCTGAGCGGTTTGGGACTGTCGGCCGAGATGACCCTACAAGAATTCGCCAACCAGCAATACAACTCCTTTACCTCGGGCGGAGATAGCATGAGCAACGGACCAAACATGTTCATGAACGCGGGAGTGTTATCAGACCTGAAGTATGGGACTGTGAGTGGCCTGGGGCCGGGTCAGGGGCAGAGGTCATACGCAGACGGACGGTCACTGGGGGGAGGTGAGTTTAACACAACTACAGGCAACGGTACGAATGGGATGGGCTCGAGTGGTTCACTGGCGGATATGCAACAACAACTGCGGGCGCAGCAGGTGCTGTCCCAACAGAACCAGCAGCTAGAGCTTCAGCAACGGCAACGGCAACGACAGCAGCAGATACTGCAGCAACAGCTGGAACGACAAGAACTCGGATTAAACGAGAATAACAATAGTAATCCAGCCAATGGGGGCCGGGGTTATAACTCAGCCGATGCCTTGGCGGTGGCAAGTAGCTATGCCGAGTTAAATAACACGCAGCATGCGGGTGAGGACATGAAGTCAGACTCTCTGTTAGACTTTATGAACGAGCTCAAGAAGACGATGAAGTGACCTGCGACATGCCGCACTTGCTGGGCGAAGTAATAAATGGTTCGAAAGCTGTAGCCTGTGGAGTGGTGTTGTGTTAAGCTGAAGCCTGTGTAGTGGTGTTGTGTTTGGGACGGCTAGTGATATATACTGGAGTCTTGTTGCCATTATATACTTAGATTCAAACGGGTACCCTTGTCTGCGTATGAATCTGGTGTTACAGTTTATACTGGTGATGTACATGGTGTGAGTCCTGAAGTACGTAAATGGAAAATAACTATAAGGGATTCTTGCTGGTACGTAAATAGCTATACGCTATTGTTGAAAGTACGTAAAAGGTAAATAGATATACAAGATTTGTATATGGTAGATATCTATAAAAGGGATTCTTTCTTGCTAGCATGTACGTAAATGGTAAAGCTATAAGGGATTTGCCGGCATACCAACGGAGGTGCTATAAATACAAGGAAGATTGGCGGTGATCATAGAACTCTATGCTTGAAATAGGTCCAGTGATTGCGATTGAAACGACTATGTTTGCGATGAAATACGTACAGTACGTTGAATATCATATACGCGAGCATTGTAGTAAAGGGCTGCGGAGATTTTACTGTAAGGTTTATTGGGTCCATCTCACTCTGACAGTAGACGGTTTTAAATTGTCATTTCAGGCGTCGCTAACAGGCACCTATCTTCACTCCTCCTCGCTTTCGGATTCGGCATTGTTGAGCCACTCAATCATCGGCGCCATCTGCTTCAGGAAAACAGACTTTCCCTTGATACTGTGACCGTCCCTGTACCATTTCTGTGGTAGACGAAGACAATTGCATATATCAATATTGACAATCATTCCGAATGTGCTATATGTTATATATATATAATGTGTAATGCAAACTATCTGCGTTAACGAACAACAGAATGCTACATCATAATCTATGAAGATCACGATGCAATCAGGCCATATATAAGTATGTCAGCACTTAGAAGTATATACGAACAGTTTTGAATATATATTAATATAAATATGGCACAATAGTGTACAAGGCAGGTTGACTGATCCGTTCGTAGTCAGATAGGAGCGAAAGAATTGCATAGTAAATCAACAGCACTTACAGAGAGTGAATATGTTGAACTATGGTATCATCAGTGCAAACAGAACAGTCACCTCCTTGGACGGCCCAAACCCTTAGTATGACATTCTATACCACTACTGTAGTAAAAGCATATGACCACACCATCTCAAAATAACCGACCTTATGTATAAATTATCGGATGCAAATATGCACTTTCACCTACAACCTAGTACGTACAGCTAGATAAACACCACAATAGCATGTCTTCGATCCTGAAACCACACATCCGGTATAACCATTTCTAATCCTACGCGAACAAGAAATTCAGATATTAATATATAAACATACCTGGATAGCAGGCTCTTCTAAGATATCATTGTTGTACAACAACATTGTGATCTTTTGGAAGATCTTCATGAAAGGTCCGTTATCGTAGCAGTAGCCCTGAATGCGAAGCATTAGCGTCAGCTGAGCCCGAGGGGTCTCACAGAACGCGAGCAGAATCTTGCTGTTGGCCTGTATGTACATTGCGTTTCAATCGGAGGAGGAATGGCGGGAGAGAGTTAATATCGATATATACATTATAAAATATACTCTGTGCGTGTGTCGTATAGGAGTAATTCCCTATTTAGGCTTGCATGTGAAAGGACATATAAAAGAAACCGGTAGGGGTGGGCTGATCACTCAAAGCACCACCAAATCCAGCATAAAACACCTGGTATCATCGGACACAACTACCCCTACTAATATATACCAAGGACTCGATGCAAGTCAACCACCTGTATTTATATATATTTCCAATAATTATATTATAAACTTGATACATGTACGCCATCACACACACAAATATGCAAAATACTTGGGATATGCCACTCGTTTGTAGTCAGATAGGAGCGAAAGAATTGCATAGTAAATCAACAGCACTTACAGAGAGTGAATATGTTGAACTATGGTATCATCAGTGCAAACGAGGTCATGCAGACAACACGGCACCGTACTTCAACTATACCACTGCTTGTAATACCATTAAATTATCATTTACACAAACAACAAATTCTACTAACAACAGAACCCCACACTTACATTGATAAAGTTCAAGGCATCCTTCTCCAGCAGGTCCGTGCTCTTGTTATTACGGTTCCAGTCCACCGTCCCCATCATGGAGTTGAAAATCAGACCAATCATATCTTCGTCTGCGAGGTTCTGGGCCGTTTGGAAGGTCTTACCAGTACTAATAATTTCCGCCTGAGGCGCTTCATCCTCGAACTTCTGCTTGATGTCCTGTTTAAACTGATACTTCTCCCGGCTCAGCTGTCGGGATTTAAAGTACTCAATCACCTTGGGCAAACCGGCCGAGTTGAAATGCTCCTCAATCGCTGCCGCATTGTTCTTTCCGTTGGGGAAGAAGTCAATCTGTACGACACGTAGGCAGAATATTTGATAATTCAGATACTGATGTTTTAATATGTATATATATATCAACTACTTAGCAATACGGGTATAGTTTATTCCCAGAACATGCACAGGGAACGATAATTTGAGAGAGAAAATCAGTACATGGCCTGAATGAAATCTTGGCAACATACACTACTATTCAGCGAGTTCAGTTGCATAACAACTTGATCAATGAATAAAGGGTGCGACGTTTAATACCAGTATTGAAACGGTTACACAAACTAATGACATATTGGCACAGATAGAAGACCGTTCCGTTAGAATCAGATAGGAGCGAAAGAATTGCATAGTAAATCAACAGCACTTGCAGAGAGTGAATATGTTGAACTATGGTATCATCAGTGCAAACGGAAGGAGTCTATAGGGGTATGTACTTAGAAATATTGGTAAAATGGTGGTACATACCATTCTACTGTCGGCTCCCAATCGAGAACAGACACAGTATATGTGATATGGAATGCGTGTCCTTGGTAAGAACCGCCTCAACCACTATACAGGCAGCGGTGAATACAATAAAATCGACAAAAGAGGAACATCTATAGACCACGCCGATAGTTTTTCTCTCATACAAACAAGGTTTACAATCAAAACCAATACAGTCGACGGTAATATAGTAGTAGCACGCCCTGAACACTGCCTGCAAGATGAATGTGTTCAAGTGTACAGACCCCATCCACCCCTGAGGCGGTTGGCGACCCCATCTCAAGGTACACAGCGTCACAATACATTCGCACCTGACCTGCCTACTGACAAACATACAGTGCCGATCAATCGTAATACATACCAGACGTCCGTCCAGGCCAGCCTTCTTCATGACCTGAGCAAAGGACTCGATGGAAGCCTTACTTAGCCAATTCTTGAACACAATCGTGATGAAGTTCAAGGACATCTCTGCACACGGGAGAGAGTATTCGCACGGAATTAGTATAAGGGTGAATGCATACTGGCTGCTCTCAGAATTCACCACTATAATATAGTCCACACCAAAGAACCCACGGAATGACTAACAATTACACTCAGCCCCAACTACAAGGATACACTAGATAGATCTATATATGCACAAGGTGCGACAGATACAAGTACGGTGCAAGCCCCAATGTTAGACAAGCAGATATAAATAGACCTGGTAGGCACCGTACCTGAAACAGAACATACACGTGTATCGATAAGAACATAAACGTGTCTCGATACTGTATCTCTACCAACCCTAACAACGTGAAAATAGCTCACATCCACTAGTATTACAGTATCAGGGCACCATATACAGAAGACAGTACCCATGAATGACTCGCTGGGCAGTTTGACTCATAAACGTATTCAACGTGTACAGTATCAGACTGAAGTCTTCACAAAGTGACAACAAACACCGTGACACAGACTTCTGCGCGCAATATGCGAACGTGTTCACTACCGCACACACTCGTACAGGCTCCTCTAATAACAGGTACAGGTATCCTCTGACAGTGTTAACGGCACAGAACAAGCCATAAACAAACACACCTTCTTTAACCAAGTGCTCGACAAGCAGCCCATTGAGTACCGTGGGTTCAATCATCTGCTGATCACGCGTGGACAACACATGTCCAATAAACTTGGCCAGGCGCTCCAAATGCACCTCCGAGAAGATGTTCAGATACTTGAAGTTTTTCCTCAAGTTGTCGTTCATAGTTCGGATGAGATACTTGTAGCGCCGAGTCAGCTTGTCGAAGGTCTCAACCATCTTCAGGAGCTTCTCGTCCGTCTCCATCTCAAACACGCAGAACGTGGTCTTGCCAACGCCATCGTCGCTGATACTACCACCGGCCGAAAGGATGCCACCGGCAAAGAGGATGTCAAATAGGGTCTCACCGTACCGGTTGAAATCAAGTTTATTTCCTGCTAGGTCCAAGAATCGGGACGATTTATCCCAATCTCCCTCGGCCTCGTTCAGGCCAGTAACAACAGCGTCGCGAAACTCTCCAGGGTCGAATTTCTGCTTCTCATCTGTGCGTGCGGAAGACATTCGCAAGTTTCTTATGAATAAACATAAAACCATACATATCTGTGTATATAGAAATTTGTACACTTTCATATTCTATATACATATATAATAGAAATCTAAATATATATGTACACATACTTATATCTATATATATAAAATCTTTTGGTGTTCAGTGGCTGCTGTTCATCGGAGTGTCCTGGCACTAGTACATTAATGCACAGCTTGTTGACCTATCGATAGCGACTATACTTCAGGTCTGGTGTGAAACAAGCCATTATTATTTGTTCGCGGATGTATCTCAAGACGACCATCACAGTATCTCTTCCGAACCAATTGCTTCTAACACACACTGCACAGAGAAGCAATAGCTAGTTTTGCGGAAGATGCTCCGTGGTAAGCGTTGATAAACCTTTGAAACAAACAATACCATACTATATTACGAAAGCGCAAAAATAGCACTTATCAGCAAGACCTTGTGACTTCTTGTGTCAAGAGTAGATCGGCACATGTACTACTACACACAATCTCAGATGTATAACGACAAAAAAAGAATATATATAAAAAATTGGGCAGTATCCCTCAAACAATATATAGCGTGTATAGTGCCTCTACCACTCAAACGAGTGTACATCCAATGTTTTAGACACGTAATGTGATAGCATCTCCTACAATTGAAGTGACCACCTTAAACCCCGAAACAGCTACAAGTACAAGCGAAAGTTCTAATGTCACGAATGCAAAGCATTGTCTGACTATGTTCAAACACTTCGTTCAGATTTGATACAGGACTCCAAATATAAACATTCTGGATGGAATCGACACAAGCCTGCCAGATGTTACATTCACTAACGTGTATAACGTGTATTTTTACACCTTGACTAAACGACATTGAAAACTACGTTATCTGCTTTATACGTTGTATCAACGACACATATATCGATCGATGAGCACATGTTTTCAATCTAAATGTAAGGCAACGACATAATATGCCGGTTGGTACTGCTTCGAGCACTGAACGTTTTGGTTGCAGTGGATGTATTAACATACCGCGTTTTCGAGTCCGCAGACGTTGTCCAGTAAGGACGGGTAGGGGCACCTTCTTACTCATGCAACAAAAGACTGACTAACTAGCGATCACCGACTTCACAAGTCGAGTTCTATACAAATATGTGGGGCAAAGGGAGTGAAACGAAAGTGATACTTCAGTATACTAAGAGTGTGTGTGAGTTACGTTGTTGTGTTCGTACTCTTTTATAACTGCTCGGGTTTTTTCGGGAGCCCTTCTTCACCCTGAGCTTGCGTGGTTTAGAGTAGGTATTGATATTAAACATGTCGTAAACTACTTTCTAGTAATCAAATGCTACTAGAATCAATGCATAAATTGGGAATGATAGTAAATTGAAAGAAGAAAATGTCGTATAATCTATTTTGTAACACGGTGCAAAAAATGAATAACAGCAACTCTATAGTTGTCCCGTACCATCACAACCGGGTGGTTTTGGCGCGCTTTTATTCCTATTTTAAAGGGGGGGGGGGGGCATAGTGTTCAATTTAGGAGGCTATAGGCCTAGCCTTCTTGAACTATTTAAAAGGCTATGAGGGGTGGCCCCGCCGGGGGGCCGGGGCGGCAAACCGACATAGCCTTAAAAATTGTCATTTCAGGGGGATAGTCGTAGCAGTAGTTGGGCTCAGTCACTACTAGAGAGTACCCTATTACTAGTAGAGTAGTACTGTAGAGAGGGGGGGGGGGGATTATTATGCATCCACTAACTAAAAGAGACTATAGAGGAGAATATAATATAAATATATCGTCACAAGCTATAAATATATAAATAATAAGTAGTAGTATCAACCTAACAATAGCAATACCTTGTTCTCCGGTTACAGAACGTCCAGGCATCGGATGGTGCTACCATGCCAGAGCCATACCACAGAATAATTATAGTATCAACAAAGGAATGTTGCTAATATTGTTTCTGTACAGAGTTGAAGCACTAACTAGGAGATACATATCACGGCTTGTGTACTGGATTCAGTAGGAAATGGTTACTAGACGGAACTATTCAACAAATCTACTTAGACGTTGATTGTCAATTGGAGCACTGTCAGAAATTTTGGAATAAATCAGTATAAGACTAGGTCCATGGTCGATGTTATGCTTCATCGTGTATTTCTGATGCAAGAAATATTAGTCTGTATACATTGATATAAAATATTTATGCATAAAAAGACATCAGCTAAAAGTGCGTGCTCTGTATGTTGTATATCGACCTTAATTGAAAATTGAACTCGAATTCATTTATATGTATATGTATTGATATGAAGTTATATATATATATATCAGTCTCTTCTGCGAACGTACGTTGCCGAATTTCGTATATGGTTGGACCTATACAGAATTCAATTTCGCGAGCAAACAATTATCGATTATCGTAATGCAGTTGACAGGGGATGCCACTTTAACCCTATTTGTGCGGACTTCAGATAGGCCTACGATCCAATTAAGGACGTTTGCCTGCTGTATGTGCGTATAACAATCATATTTGTAACTCGTGGCATATACGAACGGCATGTAAATGATATTGAATCCGTTTAGGCTCTCAGTACGACCATCGGTATCTGAGGGACCTAAATATCTAGATGAAATACTGACGCACATACGCCATGCCTTTTCAGTCTGCAGTACGGTGCAGAGCACTGTGCAGACTTGCAGTATTGCAGGACAAGGACTAAATTTGGTAATTCTGGAGCAAATGCATTTTGGCGGGCAATTACGTATCATATGATATGTATGAATAAAGAAGCAAATGTATGGTATATATATTTCCATATGTACTATATATATATATTATATATATAAATATATATCAAAAGGGAGTTTAGGCTGCTTCATATCGCTATACTTAGCTAACCTGTGAACATAATGTCCGGCACCCCCGTGTTCAAGAAGCCTACTGTCTTAGTATGCTCTGGCTCTTGCCGGTCCAAATCATTCAATAAGCAATTGGCAGTGTAAGTGCTCTCAGCTGCATTCATCCCTTCTTGTTTGCGAACATAGAACCATATCAGCATATCTGTTGTTTCCATCATATACTCACTTCTCAGTGTGTATAAGGCGCTATATGACTTGTACGTGTATTTCAAGTTAAAATTCACTGGTATGTGTATCTGAAGAGCATTTGTGAATAATTATACAATACTATCTGTTATCCTGCAATCGTCGTGCAATCGGCGACAACATAAATGTATATACTACATGCAGTGCTATTAAGTATCCTCAGTTCACATTACTGGAATTTATCGATGGGTACACAATATTCATATTGACATACCTCTATATATAGATATATACTCTATAGGCACTAGCAAACATCTAGGAAACGTACCTGTTGTCGTTGTCGGTTGAACGACTATGACATATTTGACTAGTGAAAACACATATTTATATATAT